TAATGTTTTTGTGTTTTAGAGCACAAACTTAAAATCTGATAGGAGCATACTGACACTTGCATGTGCCATCAGAAGTACTGAAATATCCCAATTCACAGCATATACCACTTGAACTATTAGAGTATTGCACAAGATGTGTTTTGCTACTAGGTTTCATGGATGCTTGCTTATAGCAGAAGTATCACAGCGTTTTTCCTCTTCTAGTCATGCTGCACTGCAAAAGACTGAGTCAGAGTTTGTAGAGGGGAAATACGTATGTCTAAACATTTATTCTTGGTTTCCTTGCCATGTAGTGTCAGGTAACATACTCAGACTTCCCTTTCGTTCTGCTTCCTAACTGGCTTTCAGTGCTCTTCTTAGCTGTGTCCTCACCTCTTCCCAACTTCCTGTCCCAAGCTTTTCACTCAGTCTTAACCTCCTTTTTGCACACTTTTCTCTGTAGTATTTATCTGTCCTCCCCACTAGTCTGATTCCCCTCATACCCATCTGTGTGCCCAGCAGACCTGGTCTCTTCCCTTTTAAAAATCATCTTCCAGTTATAAGTATTGATGGGAGATTCCTTTCTTCCTAGGGTTTCCATTGCAAGCTTCAGGTCCCTGATTCCTCTTTGCCTTCTTTGCCATCCAGTCCCAGCTGTGTGAAAGATTTAACTTTTTTTTCCAATGCTTTCTATAATACTGTGAGGGAGGGGTAGCGGAGGCAGAAACTTTCAAATTATGTGAAATGAAGCACTAAAGAGCTAGAAAATGCCAGAATTCTTTGCCTCTGTGACCTTAATTTGCACGATTCTGTAGCGTATGGTACAAATTGGGTAGGTACCATTCTGTAGGGTATGGTTCAGGTACATAATACCTCTTATTTCTTCATAAATATGTATTAAAACCAGCATTTATAGACTTTTAATTTTTTTTCAAAGGTGCCGTGTTTAAAGGAGGAAAAAGCAGAAAAACAGCGTATTGAAGCATTTGTTATACTTGTGAAAGTATATTATCAAACCACTGTGAAAACAGCTGTTTAGCAGCAGTTAGCTGATGATATTCAAAGCCAAAATGTCATTCAGAGTTTCTGGATTAATTGATACATCCTGCAGCAATCCATCACTTAAAGGATGTACTCAGAATGATTGACAGTAGCTTTTCAGGAAGCCAAGGCACAAGAAACAAGGTCTGTGCATGAACAATTGGTTAAGAGAGAGCCAAAAAGGTGAGGAATATCCAGTCAGCCTTTGTAGGAGAGAAAGGTCACTGCTGTGATTCTACAGAAATTTGCACTGCCTGCCTTATCCAGTGAGGGCAAGCAGTTACGTGACTGCTGTGCAGTTAGGTTTGATGATGATATGAGGGGTTTTTTTTAATAAGGACAGGGGCATATTGTAAAGAATTACAAATGGATCTGCTAAGAGTGAATGACTAGAGAATAAAATCATAGATGAAATTAATTTCTACCATTTTTAATAAATTTCTTGAGAGAGGGAAGAGAAATCCTAATTACACATAAAATTACCTCTTAGGTGCAAATTATTGAGCTTACGAGAGTTCCATGAAAACGTCATCTCAGCTGCGGTCAAGAAAGTACACCAGCTGTGTTCCTCATCAGGAAAAATACAGAGAACATTGCTATGTCACTAGAGAAATCTTGGGATTATTTGCATCATGTGCAGTTATGATTCCCCCAACTCCACCAAAGATTAAAAGTGATGTACTAGAACACAGAAACTCTGAGAAAGGCTAAAAAGATAACTGGAGGTGTGGAATGGTTGCAGTACAAGAAATGACCGCGTTCACACTCAGTACAGAAAGCAGACAAGTGGAAGGGGTATATAAAAGAGGCTTCTGAAATCACAAAGAGTATGGAGAAAATGGAATGTAAAGTGAATAGGTGATCCCTATTCAGTACAAGAACTTGGAGGCATCGAAGAACATCAGCAGGACCCAAGTCGAAAACAAAGAAGCAGAGACTTCTTTGTGAAAGGCATAACTGAGCAGTGGACCTCCTTGCCAGAGGATATTGTGAATGCCAAACATTTATACGTGCTCAGGAGAAGTCTAAGCAAAAGAGAAATCTTTTATTCTTTTCTAGCATGGTTCTTAATTCACTCAGACCTTGGTGCATACTGCTTCTTTAACACTAATCTTGCACAAGAATATTCTTATGATTCTTAAATCCTATGATTATAGACGCTAGAAATGTGAAGCTAAGGAATTTGTGTTGCAGTCAGGAGGAAAAAAATAAACTTCTTAACACACAGATGACCAGAAATATAAGAACACCCAGCCAGACTAACTCAGTGAACGAGTAAGAACTGCAACGGCAGAATTGTAGTCTGCCATTTCAAATCTTAAGGAATGCAATCAGTTGACAGAGCTGAGGAAAGTAAACAAAACTTCTGCCCGGAAAATGGAGATTTTTAACCAGCAGGAAAACTTCAGTTTAGTTGAAGACAGCTGGAGACAGTACTGAAGGAAAGCACTTACATCCTAATTCAAAGGAGTCCTGTTGTGTTTGAAAAGGAAGAGGCAAACAGCAAGATTAAACCTGAGTGGATCTGTACAAATGTCACTGCCCTTGTGGGGAACAAGATAGACATAGATAGATATAGCAGATATAGAGACCCTGTTAATATTCTGTAATTCTTAGGATTACAAATGAACACTAGAAACTCCAGAAATCTCAAGGCCCTACAGGAGTGGGGATAATAAACTCTATTTAGAGATTCCTCCACTGCTGTCGATTTAAAGCTAATGGAATGCAGAGGTCAAGAACATGCTTTGCCTTGCTTTTCTTCATCCAGTAGCACTAAAAATATTCAGCATTGGCCAGACATCCATGTTAAAATATCCAGCAGAAACTAAAGGCTCTCTCAGCAGTATTTAATGTAGATCAACTGCATGAAGAGTGTATTACCTATGGGAGAAGGAGAGGCGTTACTTCCTTTTTCTATGGGTTTTCTAAAATCAGAGGAAAAATCCATCAAATTGTAAACAATAGAAGAAATGTTATTTTTTAATGAAAACTTTGCAACTTATACTGTAAAAAATCCTTAATAAATAGTAATCTAAATTTTATAAATCTGAAGTCTGATCATACATTTGTCTCTTAAATATGTTATTCTACTTTAAGGCATCAAAGCAGACATATGTTTTGGCATTATATACCAAACAAAAACTATACTGCAACAGGAGGCATTATGCAGGTAAGCCTCTGACATTTATGTATAGAGAGGTAGAAGAACTACTGTTGAAAGAAGGAACTGAGTTAAAAAATAGTTTGATAGGACTAATAACGGCTCGTGGTAGCTATTGCTAAAGATTACCTGAAAAAAATGGAAAAGTGAGCCAGGCTGGTAAATACATACATTTCACAAGAACACTTAAAAAACCCAGTATTTTCTCCTATATATACACATATAACTAGTGTCCTAGATAAAGGCATAAAATAAATGCTTTTGGTATATGATTTGCACAAATGTTGCAAACATTGTTCCTATAAGCAGCGCTGCTGGTGGTGATAACAATGGAGAAAATTTAGGGAGAGAGAAAGTAAAGAGCTGACAGCCTCATGTAGAAAAGGTGAATGATGAAACTTTTTTCAGCCCTGATGTAGTACTATGGAACAGAAAAAGGGGGGTCCTTGGTTCTCTGAAGAAGATAAAAGAGTGTGTGTTTATAATAAGAAACTTGATAAAAAGATAGTTTGATTTCTTACTTCCTTATCATTAAGCAGAAGGTGGATACCGAATAATGCTGGTCTGTGGCTCAGCTAAAAATATACCTGAAGAGAGCTGACCTGTTGTGGTTTCTAACCTAAAAGGGGAGTCTGGGGCAGAATCAAGATTCTAGCTTTTAAAACCCTAACCTCTGTATTTCCTTATTTAATAAAAACAAAAACAAACAAACAAACAAACAAAAAAAACAAACAAAAAAACCCAAAACAACTCCCCAAAAATAGTCAACAAAGCAAAATCCCCCAAATCAAGCATTTTATTCACCGTGCAATGAAATTCTTCTCAATTCTGTTTATTACTTGGGATTGCCCTTGCATTACTGCAGAAAACTTTACTCCCGTCTGTCCCCTGCGGCCCATCCTAGGTAAATACATTTTTAATTTTGAATCTCCTAAAGCGATCTTCAGCACCTTCCAGCCTGGATCTACCAAGAGCCCACTGATCTCTTTCCACATGCAATGCTTTCCAGGTTCCCTCCTGTCCCATTCGAAAAGTGACAATCGCATTCTTTGTTAAAAATCTCATGACTTAAAAATTGTCTGATTAATCTCAAGCTTATTCTTCCAAAAATTCTTCCTTGAGCAAGAATCGGCTTTGAAGAACTACATGTGGAAAAAAGGCTTTTCATGGAGTTAGGAGGGAGGGATGAAATAACACTTTTAATGGAAACTATTAGAAACGCTTAGCTACAGGATCTCTATAGCAGACACATCAATGTACAGCTGCTGAGGTAGATACACACTCTTAATCTACATGCAGGGTGTAAATCTTTGTAAACAGGAGTAGTAGAGAATTTGTCAGAGAAAAGGGTGTGGTTTGAAATGTCTCTGTAGGTGACGGAAAATCTGTAAGACTGTACGGCTCCCAGGTATATGTTGCAATTTAACTGTGACTGCTCTGTCCTGCTCGTATCTTAAAACTTGCTTCTGTTAAGGTTTGGTTGAAATGGCCAGAGAAATGTCCTATTCCATATAAGATGGCATATCATTGGCTATATAATGCTGGATGGAAGGATGTTGGAGGTCATGTTTTATTGGATATGTAAGTGGAGGTTATGCGGGGGGGGAAGGGGAAGCTGGAGAAGCTACGCTACTATCTGTCAGGGTACACAGTAGTTAAAGAAAAGACTGGATAATGACAACGTTGGGATGATGTACAGCAGTAAGGGGTGTCCATCAATAAATAAAGTAGGAAGTTTTCGGCAGTGGTCTGACAGGAAAGTCTAAACGGAGTCAGATTTCAGAGCTGGAGCAGTGAATTGCAGTGAGTCACACAGAGAGCCTGAGAGCTGCCTTTGTTCCACTTGTGTCTGAACGTTGGAGGAGAAACAGCAGGCTACAGTTTTTATTAACTTCTTATTTTCATAAGCATAAAACTCATGTGCACTGAACTTTTTCCTCACCTGAGGTCTTTCAACTGACTTTCAAAAAATGCTGTCATGGTAAGAACTCACACTTCTAAATTTTACTTTTTCTTTTTTTCCCCCCTTGTGTTTCTGTATTACACTTTTTGGTCTCATTCTTTCCCACCCCCCATCCCCCCTTTTTTTGGCACACCTGCTCCAGGCATGCCTGGTGGACCTGGGACTTGCTGCTACTGCTCTTTGGCTTGTCAATCCATGCTGGCTCAGCAGCTCAGATCATAGAAGGTAAGACTTCTCCAAATTATGTCTATAAATTGAGAGTAAGGGTTAATTTTAAGATATGCTTTCCAAATATGGAAAGAGACTCTACATTTCAGATCTTCATTTTCTCTGCTGCTTACTGTTCTTAATTTCATATAGGGAAGCTGCTGCAAGTTAAGAGCTTAAATTGCCATTTGTTCTGGAAAAGGGAAAATAAATACATTGGTTCCCCAGCTGTAAGGCAGCCTATCATGCCTCCTCTCTCAATATTTCTTCAGAGTGTAATAATCAACAGAAAGTACTTCAAAGAAATGCAGAATACTGAATATTTTTGGGTGTATCAAGTCAGAGAAAGGTAGCAGAAAGCAATTGGGATAGATGTATGTGTCACTCTGAAGATGTGTGCCAGGCACGGTGTGAGTGCAAAGACACAGATGTGTGCATAGAGATTTCTCCCAGTAGGTGTCTGAGATTGTGATTTTCAGATCTCTTAAATGTTTAGTTTTACCAGCCTAGCCTTTATGGACTTTGAGTGAAAAGTCCTTCTGTAGTTGCAGATCATATGTTCTTGTAAAAGAGCCAAATCCCTCAGCGTCCCTGGAAGACATAGCCTCAAATTTAACTTCAGAGAGAGAACATTGATTTAAAAGTTTACATGTAATCTTGAGAAAAGTGAAAAAGCTTCATATGTTACTTACCCATTATAAGCAATGATACTTATGTCAAAAAGAGGTTTTTTACTATCTTATAAAAAAGAGTCTGAGTTTGTTACGTAAATGACCCCTAGATAACTATGTGATAGGAGCATTAGAAATTACTGAAGGGAAGTAGGTATTGCATATGAAGACTTTAATGTTACTCAGACTGTTTTTTTCCTTTTTAACTGACACTGCCATAGAATAGATTGTGCATCTAAGAGCCAAAGCTCTAGGTAGTTATTTCAGTAGGAGAAAAAGCCACAGATTAGTTATCACTAACAAATGTGGTAAGTGCAGATGAGAAATATGTAATGCTGTATTACAAATAATTAATTAAGGATAGAAACTGGAACCAGCTATTAGAATGAGGAAAATGTTAATGTATGTCTGAATAGTGATAGAAATAGAATATATTGCATATATATTGGAGATAAATCTGTTGTATCAGGCAAAAATGTTTTTCTTGAGCTGATCAATGACAGTGCAGCGAGTGAGATCTGGACAGGAGAAAACCAAATTTTGGCACACAAAAGTTAATAAGCAGAAGCTCATTAAAACTACAAGCACAGTGATAAAAAGAACAAATACTTATTTGACACACAATTTCTTTTTTGGTGGATCTATGCCAGTTTCTATTACCTGAGGCTTTGGTTCTCTAAATATCCTACCCTGTGAAAGTCAGATCAGAAGTCAGAAGTAGGAAAGATAACCCCTACTGATACAGGACAGTTTCTTCCTGTGCAGAATCTTATTGCTGCTGGAAGGACTCCTAACCTTACCATGAATGAAGATCAAGTGGGGTTATGCAAGTCTCCTTAGATCACTGGAGACTTGGAGACTGTTCTGGGAATGTGTTCCTGCATGATTGTCCTAGCCTAATATTCTTCCCTACTCATTTGTCTGTTAATACAAAAGTTCCTGTTCCCAAATGTTTACTAGATTTTTTTTACACCTGATTTTTAAGTGCCTGACATAATAGGGATCTCATGTTTTCTATTCCACAACATCAGATTATGTTATAAGCAATGTTTTCCTGATGATTGGTTTAAAAGTTTTTATCTCCTGAAATCAGATGTTGAGCATGAGAAACATCTTCCCTACTCATTTGTCTGTTAATACAAAAGTTCCTGTTCCCAAATGTTTACTAGATTTTTTTTACACCTGATTTTTAAGTGCCTGACATAATAGGGGTCTCATGTTTTCTATTCCACAACATCAGACTATGTTATAAGCAATGTTTTCCTGATGCTTGGTTTAAAAAAGTTTTTATCTCCTGAAATCGATGTTGAGCGTGAGAAACAGGAATAATCTTCCTTTCTTTCTGGTGCTGCAAATACATGAACGATATAAATTCTCCCTGTAACTACTGAAGAGCGAAGAAGTATATACTTCAAATTTTTTAGTCTAACGAATGCAGAAATAACCTCTTTTTCCTTTTCCACAGTTCCTTTTAGTAATAAAGGGCACAGAAATAAACTGTGTATTTAAGAGGGAAATGTTTGGAGACACAGGGAGATGAATTGACCCTCTGGTATTCAGGCCTTTTGCTGCTAAACTTACGCTTTATCCAGTGTCCATTTTGTAACTGTCTCCTTTAAGAGTACTGCTTTCCAGGATTCTCCAGTCCATTGAATATTGCTGCACTGCTTTTCTGATGGCTGACCTCTCCTCTGTCTCCCCATAGCACATAGTTATATCTCTAAATTCCTTTTTGTATAAGAGGAACTGGGAATAAGTGAATATGGTTTTAGAGGAACAGCGCAGGTGCCTTCTGCTTAGTGCAGGTGCCTTAGTTGAAGATGTCCCTGCCCACGGCAGGGGGGTTGGACTAGGTGACCTTTAGAGGTCCCTTCCAACCCAAACTATTCTATGATTCTATGATTCTGCTGTACCATTGTACAGGCTATATGCAAATGGAAAAAGTACCTTGAGATGTTCTTGAATTGGTGTAAGGGACGAGGCCCACATGGCTGTGCTGTAAGCACAGACAATGCCCCAGGGAAAGCTCCAGAAACCAGCCACGGGGAGGGGCCGGGTGTCACTCTCCTTGGCTGACTAATGTCTCAACCACTCCTGGAGCTGGGGTGAGAGAAGACTCTAGAAACCTTGGGCTGGAGGCAATAAATAGGGACGCACGTGAGCTGCCTTAGCCCCCCATTGGCAGGTCGGACACTGGATCCAGGATTGGTGATGTCTCTCTACCTCTCTCCTGCTTCCCAGTTCCCTCTTTCTTTCTCTCTCTCTCCCCATCCTCCTTCTTGCTCTCTGCTTTTGATGCTGCTAAGTAACACAAGGCCTACCTCAACTCCTCACAAAGCCGCTTAGCTTGTATGACATATTGAGACATAGAGGGTTGATGCTTATAGCAGTGTTTGTGCCATTAAAGTTGGAGTTTGTGTTTGGACCTTGAGTGTTATTTCACCTTAATCCACACTGAGGGGATTTGCGGACCTTGGTCACTCTCCCCTTCCCGCAGGTGGGACGTGACAGTTGGTTAAAAAAAGTCAAGAAAATCACTCATGGATTAAATTACTCACTGAGGGATGGGGAAGGAGTAACTTATTTTTTACAAACCTACAGACAAAGCAGTGACGCTCAGAGTTTAGAGGAGAAAAGTTTGTCATCTTTGCCTTCACCAATCAGACCACCTCTTCAGTGAGGTCTAGTGAATTTGCTTACTGGTATGCGGTTAGGCAGCTACAGCCTTGTCTTCTTGGTTTCTCCAGGGGACCACCAAATTGCAGAGGGAGGGGGAGGGTTCAGATGAAAACAAAAGCCTCAGCAGCCCTCCAGAAAAGGGCTTGACCTCTGCCATGTCTTTGTGAGAGATATTAGAAAGATTAGTTAGATAATTTTAATCAGTTTCCTATCAGGAAAAGTGTTTTGACCAAGTCTTGTTCTTCCTGAGGAAATCATAGAATTATGGACAGTTCCTACAGAGAAGGAGGAAACAAACTGAAAGGATGGCGGGAAAGTGTAGAGGGAAAATTCAGATGGCGGTCTTTGGAATTGTTTGAGAACTTCCGGATTTTAGTTTAACTTTTTAGTGAACTTGTGTGATGTTGGGACTTTTGTTTCAGTAGAAGTGTTGCTTTCATTTCTAAGTCCTAGAATGTCTGACTACTGCTTTCATTGTAAAATGGGACAGACAACAGAACAGAGTATTCAAAACCTTATATTTAAAATCATGAGTTACTAATTCACAGTACCAGCTGAAACCTCTTCTGATGAAAATGACATCTGTTTATCTTGTTAAAATAAAGTTTGATATCTGTTATGTAATTTGTAGATCTAGCTATGTGTTGTGACAGAATGTAAAAAAAAAAGAAATATTTCATTCAAAATTTTAGAATTCTGTTGCATGTTCTGCAAATTGATGTGATTTGGTCATTATTTCACCAAAACTCATTAGAAATACTTGGATCTTGCTTTAGAGTGAAACTGAACAGGAGTTCTGAAACCTCAGCAGTTTCTGTGAGTTAGAATTCTGAATTTTTAGTAACTCTGTTGGAAGATTTTAGTCCCTTTCACTGCAGCTAGCATTGTACATGTACAAAAGGGTAAGGAATAATATGCTTTCTTCCTCTTCACCCAAATACAGTGCCATTTGAACTATGGAGCGCTTTTGTAGTTTTTCTCCTGTGTCCATGAAAATTGTGCAAATATAGTACCCTATTCTATTTGGGTTTGTGTGGGAGGGTTAAGGATATGTTGATGTCTTAATAAATTACTTCATCACTTCTCCTTTGTTCCAATGGCAATTAAGCATGTATCTATGTACATAAAAGCGTAGTATGTCTTATTCTATCTGGTATTGCCTTGTGGTGCATGTACTTGGCCTTTATTCACGCTTGATAATGTGTCTTGATTTACATTGATTACCCTGGCTGCTTTTTCCATGTTGCTTTGCATCTTCAAGCACAAATTAAGTTAGTGAATAGAAGGTGCTCAGAACACAGTCCTGAACATGCTGGTACCCAGATTGTGGACAGAACTAAAGCTATAAAAATCTGAATGCAAACCCTGCCGAAGTCTGAATGATAGAGTCCTCCCTATGACTTGCTCTAGCCTCTTGCAGAAGTCATATTTATTCTTCCAGGCTATCTAGGCAGTTATCAGCAGTTTTTTGTTCTTGGCATTCAAATCAGTGCATGCCTTAAAAAAAAATATGTATATAGAAGAAAAGTTGTTTAAATGTATGTGGTTCTGCAGTTTGTATTATGTTTATGTGCTCTAAAAGAAGCTTTACAAATTTCTCATTGACATCTGGGTTTTATTATTAGCCAAGCTGAACAGCGCTTTCTTGCTCTAAGTAACATGCTCAGC